GCCATCTGTCACTTCAGTTCTGTAAACACCACACCTCCCCCAAAAAATCTAATTATTTTGATTCAGTCACACATTTTAAATGATGCTGAAAATGCTGTTTGATGGAAGGCAACATGGAAGGCAGTTGGCTGACTATCCAACAGGACAACAGTCTTCCAGTTCTATGAAGGAGGGCTTCCCCCCCCCCCCATTTACTTGCCCCGGTAGGAATTTGGCTAATAGGAGAAAGGAAAAAAAATACCCCCAATTTCAACAACTTACAGGTAGTAAAGCTTCCCTGCAGCTGGAAGCCCTTGTTTCCTGTAGTCTATTCCAGAATCCAGTTGGATGACATTGCAATATTTCTGCATACAGAAACAAAAAACACTGTTGTTACTTCTCTTAAGGAGGGTGCTGTGGAATTTTGCTGATAATCACAAAAGGTTTTCCTGTCTATAACATATTTTACCAGCCCACGTGTTCATACTGTTCCCATGCATCACAGGGAACTTGAATAGTGGGTTTGGCAAGCTACATACCAGGATGGATTATTCGTCTGGACAATGGACTAGCTACATGATTGCTCCACAGTTCTACCAAAAAATAATGGAGCATCCAAGAAAGTATTAATGCACATATAATGTAAAATTGCCCTGTCCTTACTTCTAGGAGCTCAAGATAGTATACAGGTTATCACACACAACCCATTATCCCCATACCATTCCCATAAAATAAGTTAGTCTAAAACATAATGACTGGTTCAAAGTCACCCAGTGGTCTTCAGAACTTGAATCTAAGTCTTACTGATTCCAGTCTAAACATTCTGGTAGCTATAGGATGCTGGCTCTCAGCTTTGCTTATATCAGCCATTAAGGAAATCGTGATAGCAGAACACTAAGCAGACATTTATTGAAGATGTACCAAAGGTGATGCAAGTCTGGAGAGACCACAGTGCTTTGGATTATTCTAGTACAAAATGGGCAATGAATGCTTGCAATTAGTGTAGTAATTTGCAAGCAGTTCTGCAAGTCAAGCAGCCCAGTCCTATGCATACCTACTAATAAGTAAGTCCTACAGAAGTGGCTCAAGTGGTTAAGACGCTGAACTGCAGGCTGTGGAAGGTCAGTAGTTCAGCGGTTCAAGACTCGGGTGCCGCAAGACAGGGTGAGCTCCTGTCTCTAGTTCCAGCTCCTGCCAACCTAGCAGTTCGAAAGCAAGAAATTGCAAGTAGATAAATAGGTACCACTTCGGTGGGAAGGTAACAGCGTTCCGTGCGCCTTGGCGTTTAGTCATGCCGGCCACATGACTACGGAAACGTCTTCGGACAGCGCTGGCTCTTCGGCTTTGAAACGGAGAGGAGCACCGCAACCCTAGAGTCGGATTCGACTGGCTTTCGAGCAAGGGAACCTTTACCTTTACCTTACAGAAGTCAGTGGGGTTTACTCACAAATAAGCATGCACAGAACTGACACCAAAGTGCACCATGGTCAGCATGTGTGAATAAGCCCAAATTCTAGAATCAACAACACAGATGTAATTATATTTGTAATCTAGGTGATTATCATTTATTTATAGGCTGCATTCAATTGTACAATTGGGGTGGGTGGGTTCTAAGAAACATTGCGTTAAAACCATTACTTTTATGCATTTTACCAGGATTATTATGGTGGTTGTTATAATGGAATCCTATATATATAAAAGGCAAGTCGTGCTGGTGACGACTCACCTATTGTCCCATTGATCACTGGGGAAGCTGCCTTGGTATCCTATTGGCCCATGCCGCTGGCTCCTCCATTCTTACAACCCCACTTTTGATGTGTTGCACCTTGGGAGTTGTAGTTCTCAGCTGGCCTTACTACAACCAGGGGTCGGTTCCTGCAGGAGCGCACCAGAGCGACACTCCTGCAGTAAGGAGCCCAGGGGGTGGGCACATGCAGCAAGCCTCGCCCCATGCTCCCAGCAGGCCCCCCTTTCCTTTTCCGGCTGCTGGGGGACCCTGCACGCAGCCCTCTGCTCCTGGGAGGAAGGGCAAAGAGGACCTGCGCGCTGTCTTTCTGCTGCAGCTTTCAAGCCAGCTGCACCACGAAGCTGGAAATCCAGATGGCAGCCTGCGGAGTGCCAATTCCTCAAGGTTTCCAGGATCCGCTACAGATGAAATACTGGATGCGCCCTTTCTGGTGTCTGGGGGCTGATGAGCGGAATATCAAGCATCCCATCCCTGCACGGCCTGAATGCAAATGTGTCCTCCTCCTCCCTCCCCAGCAGGGACAAGGCAGGAGCAGCTCGTTTCAGCATGCAATCCCACTTTTGTAGGAACTAATTCCAGCACTGCCTATCACCACCTGGCCCATCTTTCAGGAGGGGGCGCCTGGATGGCGCCGGGTGCCTTCAGAGCAGCCTCTCGCCAAGCAAGCCCGTTGGAGCCAGTTAGTTGCAAGGAGGCGGGGGGAGCTCTGATGTGCTGCTGCTGCTGCTAAGGTCTCCAGACCCTTCCCTCCAACACAACTCCCCTCCCCGTAATCTGCCATCTGACCCCCCCCCAAAAAAACTGGTTGCAATACAGGAAGCTGGAGAAGGACTGGAAGAAGGCGGGGTGGGCTTCAACCCTCCCCCAATCTGTGCATTGCTTTTGAAATTAGATGCTTCATGGTGGCTGCCCCAGACAAGCGGTGCCTCTATATCATGTGGGTGGGGTGGTGCAGATCATCAAGCTGCCCAAGGGCCTGGGTTACCCGGGAAAGGGCCACTAGTGAACACTGGGGTTGCAAGGGGATGAATTTGTCTTGCACCGATGCAGAATGCATTAACACCCCACACACACACCGCACGCACGCATTCTCTCTCTCTCTCTCTCTCTCCAGCAGCTGGTGAGGGTGTTATGTATTGAGCCTGAACTGGACTTGCAAAAGATCTTAGCTTGGGGATGCATAACAATAGCTTGCTAGGATCCTAGAATGGACCAGTAGGGTGAAAGGGATCCTAGAATAACCCAGTTGGGAAACAATGTAGTGTAAATAGCCTATAGTTGGGAGTGGGGTGTGTTTTGGGTGTAACCTTTTTCTGGCATAAATACCTGGCTTCGGCCAGGGGCTTCTCAGTCTTCTTTCTCTTGCTGAATCACTAATAAACTATGAGTTGATCACTTGAACGCGTCTGAACTCAGTATATTTCAGATGGAATGCTGGTTCTTCCAGTCCCCACATGACCTTACTGGCTGTAGACTGAAGGGATTGATTCTAGAAGGGGCTCAAGATATGAGAAAGTGGTTCCGATATGGCGCATCGACGGGCGGGCGGGAGCGCGACTCGCTCCGTCCCCGCTTGAACTGTCTTGCTTTATCTGGAGGTGGGGGCTGGTGCAGGGGGCGTCTTTCTGGCCCTTTCCTGCAACTGGCAGGGTGCGGGGGTGGCCCAGAACAGCCCTGAAGCTGAAGCAAGGAACAGGAGAACATGGCCGCCATGTTCATTAGAAGCGACCATTCGTTTTTTATTCTTTAAAATTGGATTATAAATGCAGCAACGAAGAAAACAAGTAGGAGTTACAGGCATCTTTGAATGGAAAGGAACCCCGAAATATTTGGCATGAAATGATAAAAAAGCGGCCAGAAAAGAGACCCAGCTAAGTATACATATACTTTTCTTTTCTTTACTTCGGGGAAAAAGTGTTGAATTTTTGGGACAGAACCACTGAGACTTGAATGGTGTAAAATGGCGTCCAAAAATAGGAACGAGGTTCAGATAGAATTGGCTGGAGAAATTTTGGAACAATTTCTAAAGGATTTAAAAGAAGCAATCCAGGAAGGCTTTAAAGAGGGATTTAAAGCTGCTCTGGCAAGCCTGCATGAACTCCCCAAGCCTCCGGAGAATGCTGAGACTAGTGAAAAATGTATTCAGAATCCGGAACACATGGAACAGACAATGGAACAGATAATGGAGGGTGAGCAAATAAAGGGGGACGTGGAGCTAATAGATACGTCGGTACGAAGGCAAATAAACAAGGAAAGCAGGTTGAGGAGAGAAAAGATAAAAGCAGAAAGAAAGATGTGTAAAGTGAAAAGAAAGTGGAGAAGAGAGAGACGAGAACGAACTGTATGTAAGAGGCAAAAGGTCAGGAAGATATGGAGACAAGTTGTTTAAAAAACATAGAAGAGAGACTGGAAAAGAATTATCATTTGTGCAGAGGGAAAGAACAGGTGGACATGCTAAGGAAATTAATGGTACAAAGAAGGCAAAACAAATTATATGAGCCTATCATTTGTGGTTTTTTATGGAATGCTTTGACTGGAGTAAAATGATTTAGGTCATAGAACTTAGGATACGTTAGAGGCAGAGTATAGGTGCTTGTATATAGTTTGTAGAATAGGAAAAAATTTAAGTATTTATGGAGTGAATTAAAGGTGAAGGCAAGAAATATTGATAGGGCATTAAATGAAAGGAAAATATATGAATTTATTTATATTTGCCTATAATTTGATTGGTAAAATGAATTAATGTATGTTAAAGGTGATAATACGAGATGTTGGGTAGTGAAACTATTATTTAATATTTATAAATTTGGTTTGTTGTTAAATGAAATGATTTAAGCAACATGAATTAAAAATAGGTGTTGGATAGGAATTAGATAGATTAGAGTAAACTGACTGCAGAAGATATGATTTAGGGTTAAGTGTTAATGGTGGGATTTAAAGCCGAAGGTATGAAATGAGGCTAGGAATTTATATGAAAGTAATATATATGAATTTATTTATGTATAGTTATACTTTGATGTTGCAGAACTAAGTAAATTGATATAGGTTAACGGTGATCGTTTGAAAGGGTGGGTTATCTACTTATATTAGTACTAATTGAAGTGCTTTAATTGATATAGGCATGAGGGATTATTGACTTTTTCTTTACAGGAATTATAAATATGGGTTAGCATGGTTTTTGTCTGTGGTTTTTGATTTGGTGTTTTGGTAGTCTTTTGAAGCAAGAGAATATTCAATCCTGACTGAGATAACTATAAGTATAAATGGTAGAATAAATATTCTTGTTGGAATAAGTGAAAATCTAGATAGTGGACTGTCTCAAGAAAAGAAGATTGATAAAGATAACAATGCAATTATTGGATGCTTGTATGTCTGAATAAGAAGGAAAATGTACTTGTTAGATGATTGTGTTGCTGCTCAGAAGCATTTAAAATGGTGTTAAATGGATGAATAATTAAGGTAAAATATACTATAGAGACATGCATTATATTGAAAAACTCAATAAAAATACTTATAAAAAAAGATATGAGAAAGTGGGGCTCAGGGTCACTTTCTGGAAAGGGGGTTGCTTTAAATCCTCCTAAGTAAAACTGGCGCTGACCTGGATAGGCCAGGCTA